AAGCCTATGACTCCTCCACTCCACCCTCTCAGCTGAGTAACTTGCCTTATATTTCACTGAAAAATTGAGGCCATTTGCTATGAACTCCCTCTTCTTCTTTTCACATCACCCAGATGTCTTCTATAATTTTCTCCTTCTTCACTCCTGTCTCATAAAAATGGATTCAACAAGCATTTTTGTGCAGATGATTCTCAGTTCTGGGAACAATATATATAGAGATGATAACTGAATCCAGGGAAAGTGACAAGATCACCAAGAGAGATATCATAGAAAGATAAAATAAGAGGGTCAAGGACAGACCCTTGGGAACATCTACAGTGGGAGTGACCTGGAGGACGATCCAGCAAAAATAACTAAAGAGTGATCAGAGAGGAAGAAGGAGAGATCAGTGTTTAAAAGGAGAGCCTATGCAGGAGAAGGAGTTGATCAACAACATCAGTGGCTATAGGGAGGTTAAAAGAATGAGAATTAAGAAGAGGCACTAGATTTCCTATCTAAGAGATCATTAGTAACTTTGAAGTAAACAGTTTTAGTTGAATGATGATGTCAGAGCAATATTGCAGAAGGTTTAGAAGTGAGTGAGAGAAGATATAGAGATCATTAAAATTGTAAAATGGATATTTTTGATTATATTAAATTAAAAAGGTTTTGCACAAACAAAACTAATACAACCAAAGGGCAATCAAACTGTGCATACCCTTTGATGTAGCATATTACTATTAGGTCTATATCCCAAACAGTTAAAAAACAAAAAGGAAAAGAACCTATATATACAAAAATTTATAGTGGCTCATTTTGTGGCTGCTAAGAATTGGATATTGAGGGAATGTCTATCAATTGGGGAATGGTTGAACAGGATGTGATATATAGTTGCAATGGAATATTATTGTGATATAAAATTATAATGATGAGCAGGATGATTTCAGAAAAACCTGGAAAGACTTACATGAATGGCTAATACAAACTGAAGTGAGCAGAATGGAGAATATGGTACACAGTAACAGCAATATCGCATGATGAACAGTTGTGAATGATTAAGCTCTTCTCAGAAATATGATGATGCCAGACAATTCTAAAGGACTCATGATGAAGCATGCAGAGAAAGAACAGATGGCATTTGAATACAGACCACTTTCTTTCTTTCTTTCTTTCTTTCTTTCTTTCTTTCTTTCTTTCTTTCTTTCTTTCTTTCTTTCTTTCTTTCTTT